TACTCGTCCAGCTCCTAGCCAACCCTAGCCAGTCAGTTAAGTATGCACGGGCCATTAACTAGAGAACTTCACTCTGGACTTTACGAGTTACTGCAAAAAAACTGGTCCAAACCCGACTTCCATATCTCTTTTATAGGATGACAAGTTTCAAACAACAATTATCCCTGAACTGGTTCCCCAGTGGATTAAGGGAGGGTTTAAGGTCTCAGGAAATTCGCTTCAAATCGTTACAATCAATCTAAACTACAGTAAGAAATCTCTTAAAGGGAAAACAATTATGTCTCCAGGTTGTTGCTTCACAAAAACATCCATCTGATGTGAAATTTAATCGGTGACTTAGAAACCCTGAATCAGGCTGTACGTAGACGCTCTTCAAAATAAAAAGGGAGCAAAAAATGATGGCAATTGGCCAAATTTCACCTCTTCCTTGGATTTTTAGAAGCCTCCCGGAATAAAGAAGATTCTGGACCTCAGCTTTCTTGGCACTCCCCAGAATACAGACTACTCTATACCCCAGCTCTTAGGAACAGTCATTGAAGAGACAAAACGAAGGTGGTCCCCAAAAAAGTGAACCAAAAAACGAACCTTCCAAATTTGGTACGGATCGCGACTTTGGCAACATGAATTCCTCATCGGATTCGGATACTTCGCTTTCAGAAGCACTTTCTGCTAACTCGTTCATATAGCAGACCTAAATCGACAGAGTTTTTTAAATTAAAAAGAAAACACAAAGAAAACTTTCGAACTAACAAGGAAGAAACAAAAGGGAAAAGAATCTCCCGAAGAGGGGAAAAAGCTCGGGAACGAAAGAGTTTCTCTTCAGATTTGGGTGCTTCCATGAAAAATTAACGGCCCTGGGACGAGCAACGGTCACCCCGTCGTTTGAGTCCATACATTTCCACATGCATTATCAAGAAAATAGCAACATGCTTAAAGTAAAGTAAAGTAAAGTATTACCTGTAAATTCATAGCTGTCTGTAGTCGAAGTGCCAGATTGGACCGATGAGGTCGAGTACTGACAGCAGGACTGGCTCCTTTCCATGAATCCGCTTGAAGGGCCAATCGTCGCCTTACCTTGAAATGCAAAGAATTACGGAGCAGTTTGAAATCTCGCGAAAATATCAGCTTGATAAGTCCTGATTGATCTTCTGTGATTGCGCCATGCATACGACTTTCATTTGAGATTGCAACGGTTTCAAATGAATGAGAACGCAAACAACTGATATAGCACCATAACTTTGGGGCAACAGGTGTTCTGAAGCCATTTTTACTGCCATTTACTAGAACATTTCTTGTAAAAAACAGTAGAAGTTGTTGGAAGTGATTGCGAAGCCAGTTAATGGGGATGATTCGAAATTTTGGCTCTGTACCCCTTGAAACCGCACATATACCGGTTGCGCCATGCACGCACATTCGCTTTCTTTTTGCTTTTCGAAACAAGTGGAACCTTTCTTAACTGGATTTAATTCAGGCTTTCCCTCTTCATTATCCGGTACGCTCCAGAGGCTTTGGAAAAGCTTCGGCAATGAAACGAAGCCTATTATAGGGCAGAGGGATAAGCCCATGATTGACCTCACTTTCTCGCCCTAGCCCTCTTAATTCTACCGCCCAAACGCTTCTGCTAATCGCCCTTTCGTGCCATTTATGCTTCACAGAAGGCAGTTGGGTGAATGCACTTGCAAACACGATTTGTCTGCCGAAATCAGCTGTTCAGTGAGGCGCAGAGAGGGACGTTGTCGACGACAAATTGAGTCTCTCGGACGTGCCTGCCTCGGCTGCGTGTGCAGCTTGTCGACGACGGTGACTGCGAAAAAAACTCACCATTGATCAGTCAACCTTACTAGATAGCTGCGAGTAAGTCAAACATTTTTTCGGGACAGGAAGCCAAGTTACACTTTGCATTCGACTCACGTTCGAGTACTCGAGCGCTAGGCAGCTCTACGTGGAGGGGCCAAAAAAGTGGGCCAGGTTATCCACCGGAATCGCAAACCTACTCCTTCAGAGAACAACTATACTGAAGTTCCCTTACCCCACTCAGCCCTCCGATTTTCCACGAAAAGGGCCTTAAAATCTCCTTGACACCTTTGTAACCGTGATTTTCAACGAAGGCAGTAAGGAAAGGGTTCGGTCAAAACATCTTCGGCTGATGTTCACAAGATGCAGCCCAGTGGCAATAAGCTGGGAACAAAGAGGCAGATTCTGTTTACGGGATTTACAGTAGGCTCTCCCACACCCATCACCCACTTCAAATCCTTTCGGCAAGACCTCCTTGACCTTTCCATGGCTCTTCATCAAAAAATCCTATTTTCTGCTGTGAATCTCAACGCTAATTACTAAATTATGTAAATCGACGGGTTTGTTCCGGAACGGGGGATCCAAGGGGTTCAAATATCCCCCGATGCACAGCGGCTAACATATGTTCACAAAGGTTTCGGGGAACAACGTGAAGATTACCGCTGTTTGTACAACGCTGGGCTATGCCACCACTGTACAACACCTAATCTTTTCCGACATCATCAGCTTCCCATAGGAACTGGGAAAACCTCGTCCAGGAGGTTATTTTGTTCCCAGCCCTGCCCAGAGTTCTACTTCTCTCCCTAAGGCAATCACCATGTCGTTCGTACGCCCAAATAACCTTTCATTCACATAGGAAGTAAGTTACTTACTCGGAACAATGCCCATTTGGATGAAATGAATTTTTTCGTGCTTAGACGCATGGCGTTTCATGTTTTTCGCAAAGTTTTGATCACGCTCGAATAAGCTAACCCGTCCGATGTACTTGGCAACAATCAGGCCATATAGTCAAAGCAGCAATCTAATGAACTTCCATGAGCTTAGCCATCAACAAGTTACTTATTCACGAGTACTGGTGACTCTTCAAAACCCAGAATGTGGTCAACATGCCCCTAGCCATTTAATTTTCCTGTTTCTGATCCGTCCGAATTTCAGGCGTACCAACCGATACCAGTCACTCAGTGGTCAACCGCCTATGACATAATGATGACTAAACAGTTATTGAATACAAGCTTTGATGCGGAGTCTAGGACGAGGGAAGAAAAAATGCACAGAAGTACCGAAAACCATCGCTTTTCATAATTTATCGCCTTTAGCTCTCTGCGATTAAGTTGAGAGAAATAGATGCGGTTTTCCTACATCTACAACGCTATCCATTCGGAGGTGCGGCCTCTCGAAGGCTGCCAACACGTCCATTAGTGGGCGTGCCTGGCAGCAGTGGGCGTTTCAGACGGACTTCGAGCCCTTATTAAACCCTACCTAGATCAGTTTATTGTCCAAGATCATCACATATTGTATCTACAGAACCCAGAATTGCTTTCCAGTAGGCGATCGGGAACCTATATTCACCCTTAGGAGTTTTCAAAAGGTGTTCACCTCCAAATGCCCAAAATCTTGCATTTCCAAGTACATGATGAAGACAAGGCAACCGGAAAAACCTTTCAGGTCCAAGATTAGTACCGTATGTAGTATGGGGAAAGAGCGCTGGATTATCTGAGAAAAAGAAGTAAAGTAATTATAGGAACTGCACTTTGAACGTGCATGTGCGATACCTATAAAGCACCGAAGTAGCACTTTTACAAATTTACGTACTTTGGGGTTTTCTTGTCTCTCAACAAAACTGGGAGGAAATACTATGCTCTCACTTATGGCTAACGATTTTTGGTTTCACCGATTCAAAATGCTAGAGGGTATAAAGCCCGCGATTTGCGAAATTTCCACATTCATCCCCCGCTTAATCCCAGACCGGAAATTAGGAGATGGAATTCTAGCATTACTGGAAAGCACGACTTGAAGGGTACGTACAGCTCCGGCCTGAATTGATATGAGGGGCGGGACAGTTTGGCCTACAGGCCCGATTCGACTCCGTGGATGGAAGCTATCTGTTCTGGTTCACCAGTACAGGGCAGGTAGCCAATATGAGTTAGATTACATGGTATGAGTTCAAATTCATTTATCCACTGAAGAAGCAGAAGCCAGCAGCACGGCAGAAGGAGGAAGCATGGTTTTTCCTTTAGTACCGAATGAATTTTCAATCAAATAAGACGAAAATTGTTACGGCCCGTCGCTTGGTACAGCGGAAATCAACACATGCTACAGTGAAGTTCAGAGGTAATAAGTTTCGGAAGTCGGAAGACCAGGAGAAGA